AATGAAATGAATAATTTTTTTTGAATCGAATTAAAAAAATTCCAACTTGTGTCTGCTACGTTTAGCTTATTTATGCTAATTTTATTTTTTTGCTATTTTAACTCTAGATCTGCTTCTTTCTGATTTTCTTTAGCTTTTTTCTCCTGTTTGTGTTTTTTTGCGTATTTGTTTTATTTATGCTTTTTACAGATTTTTTCTACAATATTCAGCTATTTTTGCTTTTAGCTGTTTTCTGCTTTGTCAGCTATATTTTTGGCTCCTTTTTACTGTTTTTCTGCAAAGTTAGTTTTTTTTCACTTCTTTCAACAGTTTAAATTTAAACACGCATCAACATTTCACTGTTAAATATTTTCAGCTCAGTTTCAGCAGCTTAAGTTTTCAACAAGAAGCATTCACACACACATTTTTGCAGGAAATGCAAGTTCACTCGTTTTAGCTGCTTTTAGCTTTTAGTCAGTGTTTTGTTTCTTTTAGCTGTTTAATAGTTGTTGTTGTTTATTTCACCTGTTTGATCTTTTCAGACTTGACAGTGTTTGTTTAGCTTTAAGCTAACGTTTGGCTGCTTTCTTCTTCAGTAAAATATTAAAGTTACTCAGGATCACGTGACTTTTAACAGAAAATATATTTTATTTTGTTTTTATTGTTTTAATAATTAAAGCTTAAATTCTCAACAAATTAAATAATTTTTTTCTCCAGGACGGCGTTGCTGTTGATTCTCGTGCCGTCCCCAAACACATTTCCTCCCTGGACTTCCTGGATCTGATCCCAGGCCACGCCTACACCGTCACCATCCAATCGCTGAGCGGGAAGCTGACCAATAGGAAGACAGCTGCAGGTCGAGCAGGTGAGCCTCTGACTCGGTGGTCACTGCAGTGGTTCTGGTGTTTCTCCTCACGGCTCGTGTCCCCGCCCCCCTGCAGCCCCGGCGGCGGTCACGGCCCTGCAGGCGGACAGCGAGCACACCAGCCACAGCCTGGCGGTCAGCTGGGAGCGTCCTGTGGGCGTGTTCGACGCCTACAGCCTGCAGCTGCTGGACGAGGCCGGCGCCGCTCTGATGAACCGCTCGGTGGTGGCGGCGAGTCGAGGCGAACGTCTGGAGGGTCTGACCTCGGGGAGGTGGTACCGTGTGAAGGTGGTGACGCTGAGCGGTGGCGTCTCGTCTCTGTCCGCCRCCACAGCAGAGGGACAAACACGTGAGTTCTGTGGACGGTCATCAGCTGATTGTGGCGGCGCTCTTTAAGGTTCTGGTTCTGGTCGGTCCCTCAGGTCCAGCTGCGGTCAGAAACCTGACGCAGTCCTCGGTGAACTGCACCTCCCTCAGCTTCACCTGGCGTCCCTCAGAGGGACACGTTGACGTCWACGACCTGTCCCTCTACAGCGTCTCTGAGGCGCCGGTCCATCACAGCGCCACAGGAAGCAGGAAGGACCATCATCAGGTGGGAGGAACTTCCTGCAGCGCAGGTGTTCCAGACAAGCAGAACGTCTCACCGCTCTGTCTCCAGGCTGCAGGTGAGCTGGTGGGCCGGCAGAAGGCGGGTCCAGGTGAGGACAGCTGCGTCTTCACAGGTCTACAGGCAGGAAGTCTTTACAGGCTGCAGGTGGTGAGCTGGAGCCGAGACATGAGCAGCGACTCATCTGTCCTCGCCAGAACAGGTGTGTCCCCCCCTCGTCATGTCTTCAGCTGTCCCTCTGATGTGTCCCCACACTGTCCCTCTAACGTCTCTAACGTGTCCTCTCTCTGTCCCTCTGATGTCTCTAACATGTCCTCTCTCTGTCCCTCTGTTGTCTCTAACATGTCCCCTCTCTGTCCCTCTGACGTCTCTAACATGTCCTCTCTCTGTCCCTCTGACGTCTCTAACATGTCCTCTCTCTGTCCCTCTGTGTCCCTCTGACGTCTCTAACATGTCCTCTCTCTGTCCCTCTGACGTCTCTAACATGTCCTCTCTCTGTCCCTCTGA